CACGCCTTTAATCCCAGCACTCAGGAGGCAGAGGCAGGAAGATCTCTGTGGGTTCAAGGCCCCACAGCTACACAGAGAAACCATTTCTCGAAAAACCAAAAAAAGGGGGGAGGCGGTTGTTTGTTTGTTCGTTCGTTTTTTAAGGACAGTATCATGAGCCAGTGAGAATACAGAGAGGTTTAAACCTCTTTGTGTTGCTGGTGGGAATATAAAATGTTAGAGCTGTCTTTGAGACAGTCTAGCAGTTCCCCAGAAGATAAAACGTGAAGTTATCAAATAACCCAGGATTCTACTCCTGCATCTACATCTAGAAATGTGTCTGTGTCTACACTTGCCAGCGAATATTGATAGCAGCATTATCACAATGGCCAAGAAATGTGTAATAACTTGAATGTCAACCTACAGAAAGGCAAACGAAATGTGTTTTGTGCATATGAGGGCATAGCTCTGGGTAATAACAACAGTCACAGTTTATAGTTATAGTCAATTGGCAATTCTTAGGTTTGAAGTTGTACAGGGAGGGAGAAAGGGAGATGGAGAAAAGTGGAAAGTGATTTATGCTGACAATGGGATTTCTTAGGGAGATGAGGAAAATACAAAATTTTAGTGATGTCTTATACTGAATAAATAGTATAAAAATTGCATTGTACACTTTAAATAGTGAATTGTGGAGCTGGGGAGATGACTTGGCAGAGAATGTATTGCTGCAAAATCCTAAAGACCAGAGTTCAGATCCCCAGAATCCATTTGGCTGGAAACATCTGGAACCACAAGAGCAAGACTTGCTAGATTGCTGAATTTACGAGTTCTGACCTCAGACAAAGAGCCTGCCTCAGTGCATAAGTGGTAAAGTGACAGAGGAAGACAACCAAATCAGCGTCAGGCCTCCACACATGGAGGCCACACACATACCAAAAGTGAGCATATTTTAAATTATTCAGCCTTTCATGTGCTTTGTAAATAAAAAGAATGATATGCTTGTGAGTGCGGTGGCCATTATTTACATCAACATTTTGTAGCTTCTTTGTATCAGTGTTTAAAAAAGAAAGAAAACTTGCTGAATAGAAGATGTAAAAGCAGTGAATCAAAATCCCAATAGTTCTGCTTCTGGAAATGGCTAAGTGACCCTAATAGTTCATCTAAAAGAAAGAGGAAGAAAGAAAATGTAACATGAAAAATAAAAGACCCAGAGACATTATATCACCACAAGGAAAAGTATAAAAAATTCTAACGGAAATGGTAATGAGGAAGACTTATATTAAAAGATAAATAAACTGGGTGTGGTGGCAGGTGAGGTGAGGCTGATCTCTGTGAGTTTGAGGCCAGTTTGGTCCACATCAGGAGTTCCAGGATATCGGCTGTGTAGAGAGACCCTGTCTCAGGAAACCTAAAACAAACTAACAAAAAGGTATGGAATAATTATCATGGTTAAAACTGTATGGTATTGGAGCAATAATTAGGAGGGCGCTTCAGGGAACAAAGCAAAAGCCATAAATGTGTATTCATGAATCAAATTAGTTTATAATAAAGGAATGAACACAACCCTGTTATAGAATATTAGTTAAAGATGTGTTATATTTGTTTATGCTGTGGAATATTTGTTCAGTGATTGCAAAGATTGTTGCATTCATTTATGTTGCATTTGATTAACTCTGTGAAGCTGTGTTATTTTGCCTGCCTAAAACACCTGATTGATCTAATAAAGAGCTGAACGGCCAATAGCAAGGCAGGAAAAAGGATAGGCAGCACTGCCAGGCAAAGAGAATAAATAGGAGGAGAAATCTGGGAGGAGGATATCGGGGATGAGAAAGGAGAAGGAGGATTCCAGGGGCCAGACATCCAGCTACACAACCAGCCAGGGAGTAAAAAGTAAAGAAAGAAATACAGAAATAGAGAAAGGTAAATGCTCAGAAGCAAAAGGTAGACAGGATAATTTAAGATAAGAAAAGTTGGCTAGATAAAAGCCAAACTAAGGCCAGACATTTATAAGTAATAATAAGCCTCTGTGTGGATTTATTTGGGAGCTGGGTGGTGGCCCCCATAAAAGTAAGAGTGGAAAACAACCAACTACACAACCCATGTGTTCTAGTTTGATTTCTGTCATTGTATTAAACACCATGATCAACATGGCAAGAAAGGGTTTGTTATTACAGTTCATCATTGAGGGAAGCCAGGGCAGGAATTGTAAGGGTAGAGGCAAGTACCCACAGAACAAAGCTATTTACTGGCGTGCGTCCTAGCTTGTACTTAGCTAGCTTACTTATACAGCCCAGGCCTCCCTGCCTAAGGATAGCACCGCCCACAGTGGACTGAGCCCTCCTACATAATTAGCAGTCAAGAAGATATTCCCACAGGCTTGCCTACAGGCCAATCTGATTCAGGCTATCCCCCAATTGAGACTCCTTCAGATAACTCTGGACTGAGTCATGTTGACAGCTGACAATATCTAGAAGACCATGGAAAAGCCAGTAGTCTATTAAGTAAAAGGTGCTGAGGTTGTACTTGGAGGAAATATATGAAGCTTGTTTCTGTAATATACATAAATAATTATCAAATCAATTAAATCACTTGGAAAAGTTAAATCATAAAAACAAAATAAAACCAAGCATGTATATATCTGATATCTAGACAGGAAAGAAGGTAGAAATTATCACAAAGGACTAGCTGGGTGTGATGGCACACACCATGTCTTTAATCTCAGCACTTGGAAGACAGAGGCAGGCAGATTTCTGGGTTCAAGAGCAGCCTGATCTACAGAGCAAGTTCTAGAACCGCCAAAAAAGAAATCATCAGAAAGGAAAAGGTTGATTATGGATACATAAAAGTTTGCTATTTTTGTTTTTAAAATACCACAAACAAGGTGATGGGCGGGGCAGCTTTCTAAGGGCTAGGGATGTAGCTCAGTGGTAGAGGACTTCCCAGCATGTGCATAAGTTCAATGTTCAAACTCTAGAACCATACATAATTTTTCCATGGAATCACTAAGAGAGATCACCAAAAGCAGGACCATAAAAGTATCCCACTGCCAAGAAGTTCTGGTTATGGAACCAGTAACAAGAAAAAGAAAAGGAAAAGAAGTCCAAAGTCACAAGACTTTTTTAAAAAGTTTGACAGCCAAATCCAGAAATAAAGACAAATAAGCCAACAATTCATTTTTAATGTCACATGGTAAAAGTCACAGCATGAGACATGAATAGCATCATTTGGACCAACAAGCATGGCTTCTAAGGTAGACAAGATGGGCTGAGGTACAAATATGTTTTCTCTTCTAGTTTTAGAGATGGATCGGCTGTACAGTACAATCACTAATGCCTCTAGCCTTGGTTCTACCAACTGTTGTTCTCATAGTTTTTCAAGTGTAACAAATGTTTACAGTAGTAACTGCATGCCTCTGGGGTTGCTGCTCAGCAGTCTATTATCAACACCTTTGCTGCAGTGAGTGTTTCTACCACAGATATAAACGATCCATGCATGGCACATAAGGTAATCTTAGTAATACTTCACTCCTTAACTGCTTTTATATAAGAGGTGTTTCACAATTTAATATGATTTATCTGAAAAGTGGACCATGAGGTAAAACAAAGCTAGTATTTAAAGGAAAGCAATACATTTATCAGAGAAAGCAAGGCCCCAGATATTTAAAAATGTAAAGGCCAAAGAAGATTACAGATGAAATTTTCAAGTGAGATTGCATGTTTCTTTGTAAAGGAAAACTGTGATTGTATGAAAGCCTTGGTTTTCTGTTTGATCCAACAGGTGGCACTATGCTAGCACCAGGCCTCAGAGAAAGAAGAGCTACCTCTAGCTACCAGGAGCCGTCCCTTTCAGACCAGGGTGGGACATCAATTTTTAAGCTCACTCTACAAAAACAAAACAAACAAACAAACAAACAAAAAACCCACAGGACCTCACACAAGAGGGCACTTAAAAAAGCATGCTCGATGAGGGTGGTGTCAGTCACTCCTCCCAGAAGCACATTCACTTATCACTCTGTCAAGTTTACTGAGGGTTAATGTGTCAGTCCCAGGTGTGGTACTGAGGTGACAACAGTGAGGAAAATGACGGCCTTGCTCTTACATGCATTGTTGTAATGGGAGAAACGTGAGCTACTGAAAACTCACGTTAACAAAGTAATCACAATTTGTGGTAGGTGACTCGAATAAAAGCACAGGCAGAAGGACAGTGCGGCTATCAAGACAAGACAAACCAAGGTAGAAGAGCTGTGCAAAGACAGTCTAAGCTCTGCGCAGGCAAGAAAGAAACTGCCAAAGATGTTTAAAAGTCTCTTTGTCAGGAAACGTGTGTGACCCTCTGAAAGTCGCCCTTCTCTTCATGGTTGCTATCAGACACAGCCTTATGCTTCATCTAAGTCAAGGATGGATTCCAGCTTTCTCGCAAGTGGCGTTGCTTCCTCTCTGGTCTTTCCTCCTCACAATGCAGGGGCTACCAGAGACTGCATGGGAGCCTGCGTGTTTAAGTCTCCTTTCGCTGGGTCCTTTCTGATGAAACAACCAGAAACTTGGACTGTCTCACAGCTGACCTGCTGCTCTCTTATCCTGTCACTCGGATCTCCAGAGCCTGCTCCAACTGCCTTCCAGTCCTGCCTCTCACAAGCCCTGTGGACAGAGATGGCCACCTGCCACCGCTGGAGACATCAGTCATCCCCCTTCCTGGCCTCTGCTCTATGTATTCCAGCTGTCTGAAGTGAATTTTGCACTTGTCCGTTAGAAATGACTTCTCTAGGCCGGGCGGTGGTGGCGCACGCCTTTAATCCCAGCACTCGGGAGGCAGAGGCAGGTGGATCTCTGTGAGTTCCAGGCCGGGCTGGACCGACAGCCTCCAAAACAATACAGAGAAACCCTGTCTCGTAAAAATCAAAAAAAAAAAAAGAAAGAAAGAAAGAAAGAAAAGAAATAGCTTCTCTAAGTCACCATTTTTTTTAAAATATGTTAAAAGTCCTTTGGAAAATTAGTTTTTTTTCTTTTTATGTGCATGCGCATGTAGTGTGCATGTGTATATACATATTCAAATGAGAGGGGGGAAGAGAGAGAGAGAGAGAGAGAGAGTGTGTGTGTCAAGGTTAATATCAGGAATCTTCCTCATTTCTTCCACCTTATTCTTGTTCTCCCGCCCTATTCTTTGAGGTAAGGTCTCTCAGTCAAACCCAGACCTGGCTGATAAGGCTAGTCCTTCTGTCTGCTCCAGGACTTCTGAGATAAAACTCCACGATGTACTGACCCGTTGCCAACAAGCAAGGAAAAGCAAGTCTGTGACCAGGTAGCATGCTTTCTCTCTTACAAAGTTCAGCTGTTTAAACTACCATTTGGCTAAAATGTCTGAAAATTCTACTTAGTAGCTGATTTGAACTTTTCCTTCTCCTGTTTCCTTTCTTTGCATTTCTTCTGAAACAACTCTACTTCTCACTAAGGCAACTGGAAACCTCTAGAAGTGTAAGGGAGCAGCCAGAAAGGAGAGTGTGTCTTGCTAATCCTACTAAACTCTTTGGGAAGGGACAGAAAGATGAGGTAGGTCACCAGCTAATTTGAGTATTGTCTCCCTTCTCCTGATCCTGCCTAAACCAGCTTGATGGGGGGGGGGGGCTCCTGAAGACCCCACCTTTGGGGTCCTGGGAGGGCCTGCCTGCCATATTACCTGGCCCTCAAGAGTGACTACAAGGTTATTTAGGGAAAAGGGTCGAGTATAATGCCCTGGACTGCCCTCAGCACCACAGAAGAAAAAGTAGCTGAGCTGTCTGAGCTGAGAGCCAGCAGGCCTCCGTGTGCCAAGTGTCACGAGAGAAAGGTGAGTCACTAGCAAGGTGGGGGTGGACACTCTGGGAAGAGCCCGATGGAGGATGTGGGGTCAGAGTCCCAGCCAGAGCAGCTCTGAGTCATCAGGGAACACACGCAGGTCCTTCCTAGCCAGGGAGGACCAGACCACAGGCGCTAGAGACCCCGCCTCAACAGCAGGTGCACACAAGGAGCCTAGGAACAGATTCAGTCTCACCCTCACCAGTGACACATGGGGAATATCCGGGCCACCCACCTTGCAAAATTCACCAAAGATATAGGAACTGGAAGTGGACCCAGGGAGCCCATCCTTCCTCTGTCCCCAAAGAATCTGTTAGTCATAGCCTCCATCCCTGATCCAAATACCATCTCTAAAAGATAAGGGGGGGCTGGGGAGGAAGCGGATATTTAAAAACTAAGAACGGTTTATGTTTTTTACCTGACAAGATGGACTATTCACTTGATGTGTCTATTTAAACTCTTTTGTTCAAATGCCCCCCTCTATTCCGTGGTTGGAGATTCAGAAAAGAGAAAATAATTTTAGAGAAACAAAGATAGCATGCCGTCTCTGCACATCTGTGAGTGGGGTGACAAAAATCTGCAACCCTCCTCACACATGAGCATTGCCAGCCCTTTCCATCCTCCTCCCCGCTGCTAAATTGGGTGCTGCTTGGGCTGCTCAGTTCCTCCCACCCACCCACATGCAACTGTGCAGAAGAGCTTAGAGGGTCCAGACCAGCTCTTTGGGCTTCTGGGTGCAAAGTGAAGAGAATGGGAAGGAGGCTAGAGATGGATAGGTCACACTAGTGAATTCTAAGGAGAAACAAAGAAATAGCAAGTTTGTCTTGAATGAGCCTCTGCAATGGAATGTGTCCAAAGGTGTTGGAGTGGGAGAGGAAGGCGGGCACCTAGAAATGACACTGGGGAGAGACGGCACAGGACCAGTTACTGCTGCACTTTAGAGGGGACACAAGATGGATGCGGATAGCAGCTGCTGTGGACTTAACTCTTGTGTCTTTGCTTTTCCTTGCAATTTAAAGGAACTATCAAGACGGATTCTTTGAACCCCATTCAGTCACCAGTGCACAGAGATCTCAGCCTTGACAGTTGACAAGCTCAGTGCCCCATGCTATATAAGAGATGACTAATGTAAAGCAAACAGTGTCAACTGGGGGGGAGTGATTTGTATCTCCTAGAGGACATTTGAGACATGGTCTGATGTATCCCAGGAAGGTTTCTAACTCATTATTTAGCTGATGATGACCTTGAACTTTGCTCTGTTCCTCCGGCCTCTGCTTCTGAGTGCTGAGATTACAAGCACTGCCACTGATCCTGGATTTATGCAGCTCTGGGCATTGAACCCCGGGTCATGTGCATGCAGGGCAAGCACTGTGACACTGATCTGCCTCTCCAGCTCCTGAAGACATTTCTGATTGTCACAACTGAGACATGCTGACGGCATTTGAACAGAGGCAGAAGGTGCTGCCACGAGTCTTCCGCTACACAGACAGCCCTCCCTCTGCGGCAAAGCATCCCAGGTAGAAACATGACCAAGAAGCCGGGCGTTGGTGGTGCACACCTTTAATCCCAGCACTCGGGATGCAGAGGCAGGCGGATCTCTGTGAGTTCGAGACCAGCCTGGACTACAGAGTGAGTTCCAGGACAGCCTCCAAAGCCACAGAGAAACCCTGTCTCGAAAAACCAAAAAAAAAAAAAAAGAAAAAAAAAAGAAAGAAACATGACCAAGAAAGGCTTGTTTCCTTACATCCCTTTCTAGTAACAAAAGTAAAAGACAGATTTTATCATTTTAATCATCCTTCCACATTTGTGATATTATTTTTTTAAAGTTTGTCAGACTTGTTTATTTGATGTGTGTATGTGTGAGAAAGATCACAACAGACGGAGGACGGGGAGCACACAGTCACAGGTACATGGTACTCATGGAGGTCAGACAACAAGTACTTGGGGGAGTGGTTTCTCTCCTTCTACCAGTGGATCCTGGAAATCAAACTCAAATTGTCAGTCTTGGTGGTAGGTGTCTTTAACCTTCTGGGTCATCTTACTAGTCCCTCATATCAGTTCTTATCTGGTAATATATAGAGAGACTGGGTTCATAAAAACCATTAGCATGGAAGAATTCCTGTTTAATTCCAGACCCTGTAGAGGGGGGGGGAAGATTTGAAAAAGACAGTTATAAAAAATCTTTTCGAATGTCTATACATACATATGTGTTTGCAAGAGTGTGTGTGTGTGTGTGTGTGTATGTGTGTTCATGTAGAGGCCTGAGACTTACCTCAGGAGTCTTCCTTGATTGCTCTCCACATTATTCCATTTCCACTAGTCTAGCTAGTCAGCTTGCTTCAGGGATTCTCTACCTCCTCAGCCTTCCACCTTCCCAGAGCTGGAATTGTAGGCAGGCTGCCATGGCTGCCCAGCATTTTTGTGGGTTTTGGGGATCTGAACCCTGCTGAGACATCTCCCTGGCTGTTACCAAGCACACCAAACAGAACAGCTGTTATGAGTAAGACATGATCACAATGGACACTTATGGCTTCTCGGCATCCTTTGGTCTCTAAAGAGAATTCCCAGAATCCAACTCTTTGCCCAGTCCCTCCCACACACTTCCACACAGGGACTAAGCACTTTGTTTTGCTTTGTTGCAGGCAATATATTCACTAAGAAGGATTACTGGGGTAAGGTGTTATGAAATGGTGGCATATTTAATTTCCAGTTTCTATTCTAATTTCCTTGGCTGTGTTACCATCAGGTCTCTCTACTCTGACAGCCTTAGACTTCAGTCCTAGAAATCTACACTATATAGCTTTAAAAATATCCAAACAAACTAGAATGCTTACATTTTTGGAGGTCACTCCTTCAATTATTTCAATAGGCTATAAATTTATCCAAACCCCTATTTCTTTTCTGCCTATATACCCTTGTCTTTTCTCTGAAATGTAGTCCTATGTTTAGGAGATAAATACCAACATCTCATCTATGAGGGCCAGGATATTGGGCTGGCTTGCTCCCAGCCCCTATATCTCTCTATGAAGACATATCAAGTCAAGGGCCCAGAGGCAGAGGGCAATTGCCAGCAGGGTTGGTCCATCACCAACACCATCCAAAGCAGCTGCATTTATTGCCTCTACTGCTCTTGGTGGAGACCTACCTCTTTCCTTCAGCAACCACAAAGAGCAGGCAGGGTCACCCTTGATGACTCCAGACCCCTGTCCATCAGGTGATTTGTGAATAAACAACTCGGCCCCTATGAGATGGGAGTCACAGCATCAGCACATAATGTGTAAAAGTTAAAGTCGTAACCAAGAGGAGCATGCCTGAATAACTGACAGATGGTGGCCTAGACAGAGAGAGCAGTCTCTCTCTCTCTCTCTCTCTCTCTCTCTCTCTCTCTCTCTCTCTCTCTCTCTCTCTCTCCAAAAGGGCTCCAGGAATGAGTATAGATTTCAGAGTCAGGGATCTCTTGAGCTTTTCCTTGTGATCACAAGATGGCTATGGAATTTTCAGGCATTTATCCTTTTTCAACAAAGGAAGATGGCAGGGCCTTAGGAGAAATGGTTAGTGTATATATTCTTCTTAGCGGAGAAAGCAAAGTCTTTTGGAAGATCAAAGCAGACTTGCTCTCAAGCCTCACTGAGTCATTTAACCAGCCCTAGCTGCCAAAAAGACTGGAATCCATAAGGGAGAAGATGGGGAATATTGGTTGCTTCGACCATGACATGAAAGTCACATCTGTAGCCTAGCATCTTAGACTAGTGTAGTCCTGATGGTGAACGAGGGAAAACTCAGAGCTATTAACTGTTTTACAAGTCTTCCAGCACACACAGTGCTACTTTGGGCCTAGAAATGGAAGAGTGACCATTCTTGCCATCTTGGCTGATACCTGGATGCCCCATGGGTTCTGAAACATGATGCTCTTGGTTTGGGTCTTGACCTTCTCCTAGCAGGCATCACAAAACAGTGAGAGTCCCATTATGTGACACAAGAAGCCAGAGCAGGGAAGGAAGAACATAGCCATTCCATCTACCTCATGCCATACAACCCAACCCCAAAATGCCAATAGCAACTCCATGGCCCTCCTGGGAAGCAATAACTGAGGAGAGATTGAATTATTTGGGCAGGTAGTGGCAAGTTGGAAAACTCTGGATTCATTTGTAGCCACAGAATGATAAGGCTACCTGGAGATTTCTTCATAGCTTACAACTTTGTATTCACTTTCCTACATTCGGCAACAACCCACAAAAACGGATGATGTTTAGATCTAAGCCACTGTTAACAGCGTGTGGCCAGCGAGCTCCTGTCTTCCTCTGCACTCTACCAAATGTGAGTTGCTTGTGACACACAGCCCGACCCAGGGTGAGGACTAGCCACAGATCTTGCCTCTTTCCCTTTCTTCTTCCTCACCTGACTTCTGACACTTTGCCTTCTCTCTGCCCCTAGACTTTCAGCGAAGCTCTTGCTTGACCCCTCTGGCTCTTGCTTGACCCCTCTGGCTCTTGCTTGACCCCTCTGGCTCTTGCTTGACCCCTCTGGCTCTTGCTTGACCCCTCTGGCTCTTGCTTGACCCCTCTGGCTCTGGCATGAGCGCTGGTCTCTCTTGGCAGCTTTAGGTTCAGAGTTCTGGCACATGTGTCAGCAGTTTCTCTGAGCATCCCATCCATGCCTTTGTTCATCCCCTTATTCTTTTTTTTTTTTTTTTTTTTTTTTTTTTTTTTTGGTTTTTCGAGACAGGGTTTCTCTGTGTAGTTTTGGAGGCTGTCCTGGCACTCGCTCTGTAGACCAGGCTGGCCTCGAACTCACAGAGATCTGCCTGCCTCTGCCTCCCGAGTGCTGGGATTAAAGGCGTGCACCACCAATGCCTGGCTGCATCTCCTTGTTCTTAAACGTTTAATTGATGCCTCCTCTGTCTGTTTGTTTTCCGTGCACTTCTGAGCCAAAGGTACAGTATTATCCAGGTTTTTGAGAACTGAACACACAGCTGAACAAAGGGGACTTACGAGTTTGCTATGAGCACTGCAGGCAATGTCTGTGTACCGAGGGTCTTATACTAGCCCGAGGAAAAAGAGGCGGGTCTATGGGGAAGATTCAGAAAATTAACTTTGGGCGGTAAATGTGTCGAAATATTTTCAGTTGAACACAGGTAATATGGTTGGAAGACAAGCTGTGGTGGACAGAACTCTCTGACTTCATGGATATTGACCCCCCCTCTCACAATAAAACATTGATTTGGTCCAGACTACCCGGTAACAAGCAGTGTTGGTTATCTGATGATGAGGTGCCTGTCTTCAGGCCCATTAACAATGATTAGACTAAGACAGTTGATACATTCAGAATGATGTGAGTCTTCAGTAGGAAATCCTGGTCAGAGTACTCCAAGATCTGATGTAGGTGTTTCCAGCTACCACAGCCATCCTGTGACTGTGAAACCAAAGGTAAGAAGATTACGAAGATGCTAACTACCCAGGGGCACCCACAACCTTAATGATTCTTTCTTTCTTTCTTTTTTTTTTTTTTTTTTTGGTCTTTCCCCCTCCCACTATAATAAATACATATAACATAAAATGTGTTCTCTTGGGCCTGGAGAGATGGCTCGTGCTACTCTTTCACAGGACCCACGTTTGGTTCCCAGCAACCACATGGTGCCCCACAACCACCTGTGACTCCAATTCCAAGGGATCTAACACCTCCCGCTGGCCTTTGCATGCACTGTATGCACTTACATACATGCAGGCAAAGCATTCACACATGTAAAATAAAATTGTTTTCAAAATTGTTACCTCTTAACATTGGTAAACATGTATATAGTTCAGTAGCTGAGGACATTCACCTTGTTGTACAAATTTTACTATTATCCACTTCAGAGTTCTTTCCATGCAAAAAACTCAACCTCTACCCATCAGACAGTGACTCCCTAGTACTCTTTTCACCAAGTTCCTGAAAATCCCATTCTACTTCTGTCTGTATGAACGTGAACCCCTTCAGTACACATATAAGTTGAATCACAGTTTGTGTTTTGTAAGTAGCTTATTTGGCTTAGCACAATGTCCTTGAAGTGTGTCCATATTATCGCATGTGTCAAAACTTCCTTATTTTTTTTACAGTTGAGTAATAGTCCGTTGTGTGTCTACACTACACTTTGTTTTTCCATTCATCTTTTAGTGGGTGCTTAGTTGCTTCCACTTTTTGGCTACTGTGAATGATGTTGCTGTGGAGATTAATGAACAAACATCTCTTCAACCCTCTGCTTTCAATCCTTTTACCCAGATGTGTAGAATTGTACGGTAGTTCTTTTTCTAATTTTTGTAACAGTAAACATTTATTCTCTATGGAAAAAGTACAATTGTTTAAGATATTTCTGAACATTTCTATGTTAGTTACAGCCCAAGGTCTCTTAACTGTGCCCAGGAAGGTTGGGACTTGGAGGTAAAGTTGTACAGAGGAAGTGGTATGGACACAGGAGTGCCCTGTATAGAGACACTGGGCTCGTTTAGGAAATTGAGGAAGCTTTGCACATCCACACAGACAATGCAGGGATGTACCTCACTTTACTTGAAGCAACTGAAACCCCTGCTTACTAAGACATGACTGCTTTAAATGTGTTAGGTAACTAAGAATCCCCCGGAGATTCAAAGAGTCAAACTGCAAAACTTACCATCCAAGAACAACACCCAGTTTACATGACCAGTGTGCACAGACACTGTGGTCTATGCAGAAACAGTGGCCTCTACTGCCTGAGGTCTCTCTGAGACACTTCACCTTCCATGTGGCCTTCTCCAGCGCTGCTTCTTCCTTGTCTCTCTATGAATCAAAGTTTCACATGGCTGTAATACTCTATGGGAAACCGAGTTGTGCACATGCATCACAGCTGTGGGCAAGACTTTAATCTTGACAAGGCTTTCCTCAAGCCAAAAACCTGGACATTTTACAAAACAACGGACAAGAATCAACTTCTCATGTCTCAACTTTCCTAGACTTTTCTCTTATAACAAAATCTGTCACGGTCAGGGACCACCCACCATGGCACCACCATACCTCCCCAAAGAACCTCCTTTGGTGACACAGTGCTTCCTTCTGATGTCTGGGGTGATAAGTGGCAAGGTGAACCTCCCCTCTTCATTTGCCTGCAACAGAACAGTGCAATAGCTGCCTCTGTATTCCCCAGCATGTGCGAAGGGCCCCTGCTCACAATTTGCAAGAGTCTGAGGCCAACTCTGGCGTGTGTTAGACATGGTGCTAGTCTCTTGCAAAACATGAGATGTTGCTGGAGTATGAAAGACTGGAGGAGTCCCAGGGCAAGAAGCTGAAGTTCTTGCTCTGGATGACAGAAAAGATAGACGAGAGTGCGGGGAAGAGGAAATGTCCTGGGGAGAGCTTCCACGGCCTGAGCCACTGAGCCGGTGGGCTGAGAAAGTCCAGGAGCTGAAGTGTAGGCTGGGGAAATGTGGAGGGCATGTGTTGGCCACGGTCAGCTGGTAAATGGAGCAGACGGGGCTAGCATTGCAGTTCAGAACAACATCCAGGCAACCTCCATCATTGGTGCATAAAAAAAAAAAAAAAAAAAAAAAACGGAGACTACTCAGAGCACTGCTAAGAGTCTGAGCAGCAATGCCAGGTCAGATTAGGACATGCCCTCTGTGACTGGCCCATTCTTCCATCCCTCTTCTTCTGCACCCTGCCTCCCCCAGAGGAGATGGCAACCTCAGTGAGGACAAGAAGAGGCCACAAAAAAGGCGAGACGTCAGCAAGACCCCACCTCAGCTCTGCAGCCAGCCTCCTAGCCGGTGACAGGCTTGACTCAAAGGGGAGAAGTTGTTGCTTTGACTGCTACCCTCAGCTAGACGCTTAAACTGCTGACATGATATATTGGGGGGAACCAAGAGGCTGAGATGGTGGTGGGAATGGCCCCGGATTTCACTTAGAGCTATGAAAGAAATAGCATCGGGGAAAATGGAATTGTTCTGTTGCCTGTATAGAACTTACGCTTAGTTATGAGAGTCGCTGGCTCTTTGCCCTCCCTCCCCCAGCCCCCCAGGATCTACCCTGCCCTTCTAGCAGGGTCCTCTTTCCTGGAGACCTGTTCAGTCTCAGGTGCAGCTCGTCTGCCTTTCTACTCAAATACATGTCTTCTGCTTCTCTGGGGCTCCCCCCATTCAGCCTTTCCTCATTCAAAAATATCATGGAAGTTGCACTGGCCATCAGACACGACTGTTTCCCAGAGCTGACTCCCCCCATCCCCCCACCCCCCGGTGCTCACCACTGGAAAACTGCCCAGTGGGCAATGGAGCATCTGAAGATGGCAACAAAGAGGACTGACTGGGATTGCGCTTGGCAGTCAGGGTGCATCGGCTTGAATCCTAGCAATCCTGTGGGTCAGCTCTGCTCAGAGCCAGCACAGTAGCGTGAGAATAACAGTAACAAACACTGGCATTAGCCACCAAGGGTTGAAGAGTCCTAGTGTGGTATGGACCGTCGACCTGCATAGGCCCACTGGAAGAGCCTGGTTCAGGGTTTACAGCCAGCACCACTCCCTGTGTTTTGTAGCGGGAAGAGAGACTGCAAAGAATTCCCCTTGTGTCTGAATTCTTGACTCTCAGTCCTCATCGTTGATTGGTATTTCCTCCACTCCTGGCTTGGTTGCAAGAGGGACTTTGGGTCAGCTCTTTAGTTAGCTTCCTTCCTTCCTTTCTAAGGGTTTTCTTTGGGGGGGGGTAGGGTGTTTTGCTTGCATATATGTCTATGCACAATGTGCATGCCTGGTGCCCAAACAGGTCAGAAAAAGGTGTTGGATGCCCGGAATTGGAGTTACAGACAATTGTGAGCTGTCATATGAGTGCTGGGAATTGAATCCTAAGTCCTCTGGAAGGGCGGCTACTGCTCTTAACCAATGAGCCATCACTCCAGCCTCATTAGTCAGCTCTTCATTGACTCCACTTTCTTTGTGCTGAGACTATAGAAGACTTAGAAGGTACCATTTAACCAACTACCACTCCATTGTTTTCCCAAGGCATTGAGAAGGGGACTAGGGGACCTAGAACCTTCCATGAGCGTAGCTAGATGGGTCTCTAGCCTGCATTCCCTGAAGGTGCCCACGCATATGTGTGCCAGCCAAGTTAATGACAGGGGTATCGGGAGACCCTACCTGTATCTTAAGAGTGTGGGACTCAGCTGGACCATGACCTGAAGTTCACACGGCTGCTGGGTTTGTAGGGACTGTGTGGCCTAAGGTACTCTAGCCTGACTCTTACTAACTGAATTACTGGTGTGTGTCTCCAGGACTTTGATGAATGGATAGATCTGCCCAAACAAAGATGTTTCCTGGCACAAAGTAGATGAAACAAGTGCATAGTTGCTCAACATTTCCAGTTTTCTTTTCATAGCGTTTTTTTAATCAGTCGAAAGTGACAAGAAGAATACACTGGGGGAGGGGTGAATGTGCCATCATAATTCAAAAGGAAGGGAGCTGGGGAACACCTGAAGTCACTCCGGCCAAAGGGCAAATGTGGCCTGGTGTCCCAACATTGAAGCCTTTAGCAGCCTCCTCCAGGAGCTAAACGTATATGAAAGTATTTTAAATAGGTGTGCTGGAGCCTTCGGGATAAAAGTTTGTCCACATTTTTGACCAGTTTTTAGCATGGCCTTGTTCGGTTCTGAAGTAAAATCTTAAAGGTTCTCTGAGAACTTAAGGTCTTTCCTCACATCCCACAATTTCAGCTTTGCTAAAAAGAAAAATGCTGTCTGGATTTAAAGGTCAAGTAAATAACTCAAATCCACAAAGTATTCAGATGAGAAAATGGAGAAACCAAATCATCCCTGAGGAAAGAAACTTGCTTCCCAACCAGCCTAGGAGAAACTATTCTGCCTCATTGATGTGCAGATCTATGAACATGACCTACATTTAAATACTAAAATGCAAGCACACACCTCTTCTCCTGATTTATCAGAAAATGCCAGGAACTCAAGGGGCTATGCGTGGTGGCCAGCACATTTGACCCCAGTATCCAAGAAGTCTGTGGTTCTCTGAGAGTTCCAGGCCAGCCAGGCCTACATAATGAGCCTTGTCTCAAAAATAAAATAAAATAGAGACTGGAAAGATGACTAAGTGGTTAAGAGCACTTGTTTTTGCAAAGGACCTGAGTTAGAGTCCCAGCACCCACATGGAGGCCAGCTAACAAACATGTATAACTTTGGTTCCAAGGAACTCAATGCCCTCTTCTGACCTACAGGGGTGCGAGACACTAACATGGTGGACAGACATACATGCAAGCAAAACACACATTAAACACGTAAATTTTATTAAAAAATAGAATAAAATAAAAAACTTATGGCCAGGAGACACCTCTCACAGGTCATGTTACAGGCTAGTAAGTGACTCAGAAATAGTCTGGAACACACAAGACAGGCTCTAGAAATAGTTCCCAGCATTGGGATGTATTTATCTCAAGAGGTAGGTAATTTTCCTATACAACCCACCATGAATGAGTCAATTTAAATAAATGAATGGGTTAAAAACTAGTAAAGAAATCAGAAAAGACAAAGTAATGAATGATTGCTCGTCAGAATAGAGGAGAGATAGGAGGCTAGCCTTTAAACACATTCATTAATAATATGGGGAAGGAAGTGCACTGCAAGATCTTGTCTGGTGTAACATTGTTGCAGTTACCAAACACCGTGAAGAAAGGAGAGGAACTCTAGATGAATTCAAAACCCAGCACAAGAGCCAGAGAGGAAACGAGATGAAAAAGCAAGCAGTCTTGCAGTTCGAATGTCAATCTTAGCAGTCTGTAAAACTTGATTTCCCAAATGCTTTATAGTAAGGATTTCTTCAGCACCAGTTGGAAATATTCATAACCTTAAATGCTCATTCAGAAAGGGAGTGATTAATTAGAAGGGACTTCAGATGTAAAAAGAAAGGAAACTCTAGAGTCTTTAGTGGAACGTGTGCTAATTTTGAACTCTGCAACAGGAAGATGTCCTAGGAAGAAAAATTAATGCTACTTCAAATGAAATTGTTTTTGTATCTTTAGTAACAATTAGTGTCAGAGTTAATGGAAAAGAAGAGAAATTAGAAGAATCTGGCATCAGCACGGATATTTTTCAAATAAAAAACTAGCTTTGGATGTCTAATTAAAGGGTTATTAAAGTTTTCAATTCTGACGCGTGCCATTTGGATGGCTATGATAACAAATTACAAGCGAGAAATTGCAAAATGGGGAAGCTCCGAGTCTGCAGAGCAGAGGAAGTGAGTTAAGACTTCACTCATTCATGCATTGGACACACTGACATGGCTAGAACGCTGTAGGAGGTGAGACACCTAATGAATGGCCTACCCCTCCGTTATTCTTCCACAGTGCTAGGAGGGCTTCATACAATACCTAGTAGAAAGTAATCAGGACCATATCACAATGAGAATTACCGTCCCTGAAGGAATCCACAGGAAAATGATGACAAAATCAGGCAGCCTTCCACAAGGATCTTTTTTTTTTGAGACAGGGTAGCCCTTTCTGCACTGAAGTTGACATATAGACTAAGCTCACAGATATTGACCTACTACGGTCTCCTAAGTGCTGGGATTAAAGGCATGTGTCCCTGTGCCTGCCTTGGGAAGTCACTCTTTTTTTTTTTTTTTTTTTTTTTTTTTTTTTGGTTTTACGAGACAGGGTTTCTCTGTATTGTTTTGGAGGCTGTCGGTCCAGCCCGGCCTGGAACTCACAGAGATCTGCCTGCCTCTGCCTCCAGAGTGCTGGGATTAAAGGCGTGCACCACCACCGCCTGGCTGGGAAGTCACTCTTAACATCAGCTTGTTGGGGAAAGTAGGAGGACTGTGAAGAAGGCTGAGTCGGATCTCAACCCCGAACACCTGGCTGGGGAATTTGAACTTTATTCATTAGCCATCTTTAACACTCTTCAGCACCTCACTGCGTGTCCACTTGCTTGGTAAGTGGTGAGATGAATGAAGCCTTTGATAGGGTTTTGGCTGTTGCTTTGTTTTCTATAATAAGAAGCTTCAGATTTTTGCTTTAGATTAAGGCTAAATGGTGTAGAACGGGACCCAGAGGGGTAGGAGCCCTATTACGAGTTCCCATCAAGAGCATGAAATGGCATTTACTGAATGTGTTACAGACGTGTTCTCAACAGTTATTTTATTTTATTTTATTGTGTTTTTTTCGAGACAGGATTTCTCTATATTGCTTTGGAGGCTGTCCTGGAACTTACTCTGTAGACCAGGCTGGTCTCGAATTCACAGAAATCCGCCTACCTCTGCCTCCCTGTGCTGGGATTAAAGGCATGGGCCACCATCGCCCGGCTCTCAACAGTTATTTGAGATCAATGACAAAGGGGGAAGAGTCGCTGTAGTGTTTCCATCCTGCACTGGAGAAACACATGCAGACATTTAAACCCACAGGACAGTGCTGCTCTCCGCCTCGGTCAGAAGCTCCATTTTCCATGGGCAGAGGTTGATGAGGAGATCCACGACTGGCCAAAGAGCTGAGGATCTGGGCCTGAGATGCCATCAGCCCTAAATGAGCTGTGCACATCAGCTACCTCTGAGGTCCAGAGAACTTCAGGGAGGATGGGGCAGGAAGAGCGCAAGAGCCCGAGGATGGGGAGGAGTTCTGTGAAAGGCTGTCCTCTGGACTTGACATGGCCTTTGTGCTCATGAACTCATAGCAGCTGTGGTTACTGACACAAGTTTAAATTGGTCAACATTCCAGCACAGACTGGGAGGGGCTCACGAGAACCCTCTCCTCGATGAGGAGCTATAGGCAGTTAATGAATGGTTGCAGGGGGCAGGAGCATGGGGAGGAGTGGGGGAATCATTTTCTTCAGTGGTGCAGCCACCGTTAAGTTGCTCCAGTAAATAAATCCCAGTCCACAACCCTAATTATACACACACACACAGACACAGACACACACACACACACACACACACACACACACACACGAACGGGAACTTTGGGGGGAAAAGAAGAGTCTCAGTAGGAATGGGAGAGTGATAAGCGACGGTAATGGGACTGAGTGTGATCAAAGTACAGTGTGTGTGTGTGTGAGAGAGAGACACACACACACACACAGAGAGAGAGAGAGAGAGAGAGAGAGAGAGAGAGAGAGAGAGAGAGAGAGAGAGAGAGAGAGAGAGAGACACAGAGACGAGAACACAGGACATACAGAAACCAAGGTGAGATAGAATTGGAAGCTCCCCCCAGCTAGCTAAGCCCTCATAGTGCCAGAAGGTGCTATGCAGACTGCTTGTGGAGAGCTGGCATCGGTTGTCTTACTCGGCTGTGGTCTCTACTTGCTACATTACTGACCTACCAGGGAAAGTGCACCCACTAACGCACTAGTGGTTACGTCTGCTATGGTGGCTACCAACCAGTTCCTGACTGGAATTGAGGCCTGCTCCATAAGAGGGAACTTATATCTGATATTATAAACCTGTTTAAAAGCATATGGCTGGGGAGGTCACAGCCCTAATGGGGAGGCTATAGATGTTATTTTGTTACTGGTTGCTGAAGGAGAAAGAAACTTTTTCTTCAGTAGTGTAGCCACTGGTAAGTTTGCCATACTCCTTTAAGAAACCTCTCACCTATATAGGATTCTGGAAACAACTCTCAAAAACCCATTGGCTTACAAAAAAAAATCTTGCTGGTATGATGGCTCAATGAGTAAAGGCTCTTGATCCCAAACCAAATGACCCGAGTTAATCCCTAGGACCCAGGTGGTAGAGGGAGCATCGACTCCCAAAAGTTGTCCACTGGCCTTCCGGTGGATCACGGTAGAAGGGGGCTAGCTGATAAGAGGAAGGGGTTCAGAGGAAGTGGAGGGTGACAAAAAAGGGTAATGGCAGGGTGAATATGATAAATGTTATACCCATGTATGAAAATGCTACCATGAAGCCCATTACTACACATAATTGATAATACTAACAAAGCATTAAAAGTTTTGAAATAGAAAAAAGCTAGTCTCTTGCGCACGTGGGTATGAAGTCTGATTTGGAAAGGAAGGGAAATAAAATTTGGACTTATTGCTTGTAAGGACAACAAAATGCCGTAAAAGGAGTTATGCTCAGTGTCCCTAAAATCGCATACAGGAAAAGAAACATCACACTCCACAAGCTGGATTAGAAGCACTGCTCTGCGGCCGAAGATGCCCAGCAAGCTCAGCTCACTGGCAGACTCACTGGCTTTTGCACAAGTGGGTCATGCTCTTCGAAACACTTCCGCTCCTCCTTCCCAGGAAGCGTTCATTCCCAGGAAGGCTCTCCCTTACTCACTCCGTTTCCTCACCTGATTGCTTCTATCATCGTGCCCGCTTGCCTTTTTCTGTGTGCCCTTCCAGACCGAGGCACTCAAGGGCTGGGGCTCTGTCTTCCGACCTAAGGCCATCTCTGTATGTCCGACTCTTAAAAAAACATCTCTTGACTGACTGGCAAAGAACAGCCCTGCTCCATTAAGTCAGTTTCTTCCTTCTTAGGGCAGCGCAGTTAACGACCTCAGGACCAGGAAATCATCCCCCTCATCACATACCAGGGTATTATTCACGCAGTTTACTCACTGTAAATACTTCCCTTAAGATAGTGGCAACCACTAGTTGAAGATTTACAAACTTCCCAGGGCCAATCTACTTTCTTAAAAGCCTGCTTATTGGGGGTGGGAAACCGGTCACTTTTTTGGTTCTGAAAAACACATTTGGTGGTAAATTCAGAATTTCTCTGGGTCTAGGGCTGGATAGGAGTTCTGTGGACCTTTTCTTGAACCAATGTTTGCGGAGCAGTGTTCTTAGAGCAAAGGTAGTGTGAGTGGTTTGTCTCCGCGTTCAGGAGCATCTGGATACTGTTGCAAGTCTCGAATACATACATCTCTTAAATTGTTTAATGTTTACCAAACCCCAAACTTTCTCTTTGAACCTGGAGTCGTACTGGCTGAGGACTTCTTGAGCGTTAGGGGACCTGGAGGTCCGATCGGGGGGCATGGCCAATTCCCAGAGTTTTGGGGAATCACAGCAGGGCCAGGGTTTTCCTCCCGGTAGGGGTTAGCGAGCCCCCCCTGCCCCGACTTGCCCAGGGCGGAGAGCTGGAGCAGGGTCCCGGCGAGGCTGGGTGAGGCGGGCGGGCAGGGCGCGAGGGGCGGGGCGAACCAGCCCGAAGCCGGGGCGGGGCCAGAGCGCGGCTCGATCCGGCCTAGGCCTCGCTGGGCTCCGCCTTGCCCGGCTACGCAGGCGGTAGGACTGCGGTAGGGGCCGGGCGGCACCATGGCGGCGGCGGCAGCGCCTGCTGCTGCGGCGGCTTCTCCCGAGGCGCCGGCCGTCACGGGCAAGGCAGAACCCGAGGCGGGGGACGAGGATAGTCGTGAGGTCCGAGTGCTGCAGAGCCTGCGCGGCAGGATCTGTAAGCGGGGCCGGGGGTGGGCTGAGGGGACCCCGGGGCGGCGCGGCTGAGGGTGGGCGGCGGGCGGGCGCGGGGGTGGCGACGAGGCACGCCCGGCACTGGTGAGACTGGATGGGGGTGTGTTGGGGGAGGCGCCGCGTCGACGGGACGGCGCGGGTCGGGGCTCCCCTCGGAGCGAGCGGGGCGGGGAGCTGCACGCGCGGGCGGGCGGGCGTGAGGGGCGCTGCCTGAAGCGCGGCCTGGACGCGGGAGCCCCGGGCACGGCCGGGGGCGCGCCGAGTTTCCGGCCTCCCTCAGACGCAGGCCTGCGGGCGGCCGCGGACGACGGGAGCGGCCCGAGGTGGGAGCCCCGTGGTAATTACAAGGGAGGCGCGGCTGGAGGAGGGAGCCAGGCCGGGGCGGGGCGGGGCCGGGCGGCGGGCTGAGGAGGGGGTGCGAGCTCCCTGGGGCTCCCGACATCCTGCGAGCTTGAGCCGGGGGCTGGGGGCTGCGGAAGCCGCGGCCCGGGGGCTGCTGGGCGCGGCGAGGCGAGGCGCGCAAGCGAGCGGGACGCCCGAGAAGCACGGGCCGGACACCTGCGCCCGCCCCCCCTTGCGGCGGCGGTGGCGGCGGGGACTTGAATCGAGAGACGGCGTGACTGTCAGGGACTCTGGGCAGGATGTAGTGGCTTCCTGTGAGCAGGTCTCAAAACACAGTCATCCAGTCCGCTTAATTCTTCCCCGTGCGTTTGTTACTTTCGTGAGAGCCGCACTGATGAGTATAGAATCTTTCTCAAGACAGGCCAGTTTGATTGTCATTGTGATCCTTAGCCTTTAAATGACCCTTTGAGATTTCATTGACCCCCCCCCCCCCAGCTTATTTAGACGACCCCTTTTCACTGTTTGAAAGACAATAAAACTTACTGTTACTTTTGTTGAAAAAATTTTTCATTCAGTATCCTTAAATTGGAATCATACTCCATGCTGTCTCCTAAATCCATGACTGTGAAAGATACTTTATATTTTGTGTTAGAATGGCTAGTACTGCTCTTAAGCAGAATATACATTTTTTTCTTAAATATTGATACTATAACTTATTTGGGATTTGCCCACATTTTTTGAGGTTACCTCCTTTCAAGGATTTGGAATTTTAGTAAAACCCCAGGAGCAAACAGAATAGTTGTCACTTTTTATTCCCTTATGTGATCCTGGGACTTTTAATTAAGACGTTTTAGATATTAAAACTTGGAAAATTACACTAGAGCAATGGATGTTTTGGGAGTGTTAAATTCCCAGTATTTTAAGTTACTTTCTTAGAGTATAAAGTTTTCACAATTTATATTTCTTACACTTAATATTTGCATATGTGTAATTCCTGGGGACAGCCAAATGAACTAGAATTTCCTCCCCCACTGATCTGGTTTTCCAAATATTTGCTACTTTGTTATTTTTCTGTGAATATTAGACACTGTCTGTGGAAGCCTTGATGATCTATAAAAGCAGATTGTGTTATGGGGTGACATGCACTGTTGAAGTAGAAACTTGGGATTGGACTGTTTCTAAAAGGACTTAGTCACCATCTGCTTTGACCTGCTCCATAGCAAAGGTTCTACAAACAGTTTGGCAAAAACATCACTTCGAGAGAAATTTGGGTGCAAATTAAAAAACAAAAAGCAAAACAAACATGCAAAAAATGCAGCTTGGTTCCTGTGATTTAGGGTCCTGCTGCCCAGAAATTGACTTAAGTTCCTGGGAATGTTATTTTAACTAAAGCTAAAGTATTACACTTGCTTTCACCCTAGACGGTTTATTTTTTTAATTGTTCAGCTTATAGCTCGGGTCCTGGTGTGACTGTTTCACAAAGAAATATATCTAAATAAAGAATACCCCTCCCATTTCTCTGTCCTTCTTTTAGCTGGTATAATCTAGGGTTGGTTGAGCTTGGGAACCTTGGGAGGAGATGCCGTCCTCTGTTTCTGAAACTGACATGTGGGTTTTGTAAGGTAAGGGCTGAGAATTGACAAAAGCAGTAGCAGGTGTTAAAGTCACAGAAATGGGGTGATAGTGGTCTGACAGTGACCATACTCTGGGGATGGTGATGTACCTATGCCACCATTCCTTTACACCACACTGAGAAACTTTGGGGAGGACCTGATAGTTGTCTGTTGGCCTGGAGATGTACTGTCCGAATCAAAACTGCTGTTTGGGGGCCTCTGGTCTACAGAGTTAGAGTTCTAGACAGCTGAAAAATCCTGAGAGAAAACATTCTTATTCTCATTCTTGGCATGTCAACTCTGAATCAGCCCAGTGGAAAGTGAGGATGGGTTGGTACATATATTGTTTAAGTTCTAGAGATAGATAATAGTCCACACCCTTCTTCAGGTGTTTCATTCCTAATTTGTTTATGTCCCATAGATTTCACAAGGTGTATAGATAGTATCAGATTGGTGGATCAACACCACTACAGGGTGGAGGGATGGCTCAGTTGGTAAAGTGCCTGCCCTCAGAGCCCATACAAAAAGACATGAGTTGGGGAGGGAGGATTTCAGCACATTCCTTTAACCCCAGCACTGGGAGAGTGTGGCCACAGGCAGATCCCTGAAACTCATTGACCTGGCCAGCATGGCCGAGAACAGCTTCTGGTTCATTGAGAAACCTTGTCTCAGATAATAAAGGTGGATAGAGATTCTCAGCACCCACATACATGGGCACCTGCATGCACATCTGCACACAGCCATACCAACAAATACACACACACAAACATACACGGGCACTTGCACACCAATCTGCACACAGCCTCTCTAACAAGTACACACACACACACACACACACCATTTCCTAGCTGCCTTTCCACATTCAGTTTAAGGCAATCTATTATTTCAGACTGTTTTTGAGTGGTCAGCTTCCTTAACTGTATTCAAGAGGCAAAGTCATTGGTTATCTTCGAATTGTCATCTGAGTTAGGAGTATTTTGGGTCTAACTACTTTGATGTAAGTGGTGTACCTAAAGGTAGTTTGTATGCCCCCCTAAACCCTATTTTCAGGTGAAAGAGGGGTTTTAGACTTTCTCCTTATATCTTCAGGCTTGATGTGACCTCCTTTTTAGTGCCACATTTTATTCAATCTACATTGTCCAAGTCAATTGTGACAGTTTTGAAAGGTTCCATACTACTTTATGCACAAGCTTTTTCACTCAGTCAGGTTCATAAAGGTACCAGCTGTGAAGATTTGTGTGCAATGAGGTGTGTGAAACAATGATTGTGACCCAAGAACTCACTTAGGATTTTGATATTTTCAGACCAAGAATGACTTAACCCTGTTTGACAAAGCAGAGAGCACTTAACAATGCTTAAGCTTAGGGGCCTGGTATAATTGGTCAACTGGGATTGAATGTACACTTAATTCCCAGCTTTTGTTCACACCTTTGTGTTTCTCTACAGTCTCATGTGTAAATTGTGAATAGTAAAAATATCTGTCTCACAGGATTGCTATGATGATACCCTCAACCCACAACCAAAAAAAAAAAAGCTGGGGTCAGCCATGGGCAGTCTCTTAGGAAGGAGTGAAGCAGGAGATAAAGCCTTATCTGATGCTCTTGTCCAACATGCACTAGCATTTCCTGGTGTACAGGGCTCACTGAAAGCAGAAAGCTGTGTTCTGCTTCATACTTTGTTAGGTAATATTCCTGTGACTTTAGGCAGTCCTTTACCCTGGAGCTTATCTTTGTCTTCTCTTTCTCATCTTTAAAGTGGGACTAGTGCTTTGTCACCAGTCATTTTGCTCCTGTTGTTTCCTCTGCCTGAGGGACCCCCCCCCCCGTATTTATGCCAGAGAACCCCTGCATACCCTTCAAAAGCTTGCTCCAGTAATCTACGTCTTTGAGCCATTTTGCCCTAATTTCCAACCATAGGGATTTGATGAAAAAAAAATGCAATTCATGAACATTTTCTTATCACAGAAATCATTTGTATAATGTTCCTGTTATACTGTGAACTCTTTCAGTTTAGTATTCGTTCTTTTTATTTTTTATTTTTGTTGTTGTTTTTAACAGCCTCATTAGAGCAGGGCAGACCTTTAGAAAATACCCTACCTCTCAGTGTCATCCTGAGGATAGTTTCACAGTACTACATGTGAACGGATTTCCATATTGCTGAACAAACTAGCAAGTGTTTTAATAAAGGAAAACTTCATGGATCTCTCAGGAAGTTCTTTTTTCTTTTCTTTTGAAAATTGGAATGTCCACTTATCTTAGATTTGAATTAAGGCCAAAGTTGCCTCCTTAGAAAAAGGGTTACAATTTTCTAAATGCTGACTTATTAATCAGAGTATTAATTGTTATCTGACTATATTCATGAATTTTGATATTAGTTGTTTCTGGAACTTAGAAAAGAAAATCTTAAAATCATAGTTTATATAGGAAGTGTTTTTATTTGGCACAGCAAGTTTAAATGTTTTGGTAATAAGATATAAATCAAGACATTTTATTGACTACCCAAGAGTTGAGAGGAAGAGATTTAAAGGGGATTATTCATGCTAATAATTCATTATTATCAGATTTTTAAAATGAGATGAGTACTTAATACAGGGATTTAAAGGATTTACTCACGCTAATAATTCATTATTGTCAGAAACTTGAAATGAGATGATGAGTTATTTAGGACAGAAGAAGAGTCCATCTTTGAGATGGCTAGAAACTGAGGAGAAAGGGATCTTTGTGAATCAGCTAAGCCTTTGCTTTGTGGAGGACAGGAGTAAACCTCAGTGAGTTCATAGAGGGGTTTTTGTAACTGAGAACGCTTTGAATAGTCCCATAAGTG